CAGCGTGCAAACCTTTGGCAGAGGAGGGACTTAAAAACTAAATACAGAATTAGCGTTGTATTTCATACTAAATCTATCAGCTCCACCAGATGGTTCCAGTCGCTTCGCCCTAGCCTAAATCCCCATCCACGAAACGCGCGCCACCTGGCTCACGATGTCCAAAATCACCCCAACCTCCGTCCCCCACTCCTTTTACTAACAAGGAGTGCCCTTTTAGTGTCATCGGCAAAATCTTTCGCGACCTACCTCATTCGATAGAGAATTGAATTCTGAACAAGCTCCCGTTGTTCGTTTTTGCGGAATGGCTGTCTCCGATTTTATAAAATTAAAAAACTAAAAACAGCATTTTTGGACCACGATGCTGGCGCCACCCCCAAAACCGCCCCCGGGGAAGAGCCGCTCTGACCTCTCCCAACCACCAGTAAGCGTGGCGCAGTGGCTAACACCACGGCCTACCGAACTTTTTTTGTGATTCAGGCAAAAGTTCGAAACTCACATCAACAATTCATTTTGCTTTTTGAATAAGGTTACGCTTGGAACCCCTTGGGGACATTTCATGTGAATTTTTGAGAAAAGCCGGCTTGCACCGACTAGTTTCTTATTTAGCGCCTGGTTTTCAAAAACATAGGCTTTTTCACAAAGGCTGCTCGATTGTCTCTGCTTCAAATAAAATGGCGGTTGACCTATGAAGCCAGCGCAATCAAAATTCAAAAAGCAAAATGAATTGTTGATGTGAGTTTCGAACTTTTGCTTGAGTCACAAAAAACTTCGGTAGGCCGTGGTGTTAGCCACTGCGCCACGCTTACTGGTGGTTGGGAGAGGTCAGAGCGGCTCTTCCCGCGGGGGCGGTTTTGGGGGTGGCGCCAGCATCGTGGTCCAAAAATGCTGTTTTTAGTTTTTTAATTTTATAAAATCGGAGACAGCCATTCCGCAAAAACGAACAACGGGAGCTTGTTCAGAATTCAATTCTCTATCGAATGAGGTAGGTCGCGAAAGATTTTGCCGATGACACTAAAAGGGCACTCCTTGTAAGGGATAAACTTTCAAAGTTAAATGTAAGAATTTAAACGAAAACTTTTTCATGATTTTTTATCAGTTTGTGCGTTTCTGAACACGCTCTAGCCGAATCCGAAGAGACCTAACAAGGGAACCACCTAAGGTCAAGGTGGCGTTTCGTTATGGGACCCAGCCTATTTTGTGTAGAATTTTTTGCTGATTCCGAATCCGCTTTTATTTTTTGCTAAATAGCCCAATTTAAAAAGTTATAGCGATTTTAAGGTCATATCTGTGCCCGCGGGAAGTCATCTGTCACGATGCCCAACTTTTTTATTTTAATAGGGCAGTCGATTTTTAATAGCCTATCTTGTAGAGAATTTTTTTTCTGATTCGATTGGTATATTTCATTAGTGCGCTACGACCTATCGACGATCACTTACGGGGGTGTAAAATAGGCAATTTTTCACCATTTCCCATACAAAAATCGGAGTCCATCGTCGATTTTTTCAGTTTTCAACAATTTTGAGTTAAATAGTTCATTCGATAGAGAAAATTTTTCTGAATACGATGGCGATATTCGTTTTTGAGGAATCATACGGGAAAGGCAAGATAAATGACTTTGAAGTTCGAAAATTTGGGAAAAAATGGAACTTTGAAAAGCTATAACTTTTTAAATTGAGCTATTTAGCAAAAAATAAAAGCGGATTCAAAATCAGCAAAAAATTCTGCACAAAATAAGCTGGGTCCCATAACGAAACGCCACCTTGACCTTAGGTGGTTCCCTTGTAAGCTCTAGCTCCTTTCCCCTTCGAGTTGAATTCGGCTTCACACGGACAGACGGAGACCACAACAAAATTATTATAGTTGATAGCGACAACACGGGAAATTTGCGATCTTGTTTGTTAGGTAGTATAACTTTATTTGACGGGTTAGAAAATTCACGTTTAAGCTGGAATCAGGGTGGCCGTCCTCTGACACGTGTAATTTAGTTTCGCTGGGTTAAGGAGTTTCACAAAGCCATCACGACATATCGCGAATGAAGACGAGCACATCTGTTCCGGGCATACCAACGTGCGTGTAGCAGGGCCTCTAAACGCTGGTTCTTTTGCATTATCGGAGGGAGGATTTTCTGCATAAGCCCAGAAATGTCTAGCGACTTAATAGCAGGTGTTTTAGTAGCGATTTCGATAAAAATGACAATCATTCGACTGGAAAAACTAGCCAAAAGGTTTTAAAAGGTTAAAGGTTAAAGTTGCAATCTGAGCAATAAATCGATCCTTTTGGTCGAAAAATCGATATTTTTGTCATTTTTAATACAATTTGATATAGTTTTCACTTTCAGGAATGGTAAAAAAATTATTTAGAAACACTTCCCCAATATCCTACTATATATAAAAAATTAGATTCTACGAGAAACGTTGGACCCCCCGATAATGCGAAAGAACCTAAAGACTTTGCAAAGACTTTGTTAAGGGGTAAAAGATCCGCGCAACGGGCTTCCTTCCAGACTTACGTGCAGCTCTGAGCCCAGCATGTCCGCTGCTGCTGCTTTGTCCCTTGCATACCGCAAAATGGGACCGCATCGCACATCATGCTGTCGGTCCACGGGCCCCAACCGCTCGAATTGTCGTAGGGCTGCGCAATGTCCAGGAAGACCATCGTTTGCGTTACCAAATTTGCTACCCTCAGCGACTGAAAAATTTAAACATCTGGCGATCACTTGAGAGTATACCCCGAAAGCCTGCACATCCAGATAATCGTTGCTCGTCGGATCGAGTTGTAGCTGATCACCTATCGTCGAGTTTTGCATTAATGGCGATGCGGGCGGGTTGCTCAGGCTTGCACTGTAATGTTTTAAACAGCCGCAAGTATTATTAGCAAAGTAAGCCACGTATTTGCCATTATTTTTGGAGCAAGTCGAGTAGCAGTCGGTGGTTATCAGCGTGTCCGGGGAAATGGGGTCCGATTGCGGGGATGTGGCTTTGAGTATGATCAATAATAGAAGAAGCATTGCGCCAGCCAGGGATTATTTCAGTAACAGATCTGGAACCTCGCGCCTATTCCTCACTCAGCCAACCGGAACTCGTTGCCTGGCGACTTTCAACAATTGACAAATGGAGTTGACAGCGGTGCTTTTGCCGCTTGCCGGAATTCATACGGAATGCTCTCCTCCTGAGGTAGGTTTTTCGAGGAATGTATGACCAGTTTTGCGATAATTTAGTTGCTAGAAACTATGAATGCCATGCCATATTTGTTGTTGTTGTTGTGTAATACAAAATTGCTTAATCTTTATTCAATCAAACGCAAAAATCGCGTAAATCCGCTATGAAAAAAACATGATCCCAACGGCAAGTGAGATGTGAAACAATTAGTGTGGCAGAAGCCGCATAGAAAACTTGATTACACGGGGCTTTGTTTTTTTTTATTGATACAGGCCAGCGTGAGAATGTTAGCCCAAGCCATGCCGTAAAAGTACGACTTCACGTTGGAATTATAATAGCCGATCGCTGGCATCTGTATCCTTTTTGAAGATTATAAGCTTTCTGAAAACCAGGGCAACACGTTTCATCCGGAAACGTACAGATATTATCCAAACAATGCACTGTGCGCGTTGTTGAGCCTCTGAAATCGCAAAACAATAAAATTTTGGCCCTGCGTAATAATGCAAAATGCTCACTAGTACATGGTGTCGCAATAAAAAACATCCCCCCCCCCCCCAACTGGGCGGAGATGTCACGCTAATTGTAAGGACCGGAGGTTACGACCCTCAAAAGCCATTGAAATGGCGAATTTGCAAAAACCTTCAGAGCCGTATTTTCCTTAAATGCGCCCATTAACAAGCCATTTTGTAAAATTTTCCGGGTTTTCCAGGTTGCATTCGAGCCAATTTGACTTTAGTTTCCCAGTTAGAATGGCTGAAAACTGCCGTAAAGATTAGATTGAATCAGCGTCATACTTTTAGCTTGCGTTCGAAAATTAAAATGCAGATTTTGCAAAGATCGGCAGTTTTCATAGAATCGTTTTGAAATTCTTGTTATGCCTCGTTTGAAAAACGAAACGTTGTTGTATTACGTAGATGCGACTTACGTGCAGTTCCCGGTCAAACAGGTCCGCTGCTGCGGTTTTGTCCCACACATGCCACATAGCAATCGCCCTGTACATTTTGCCAGGTCCGTCCATTGGCCCAGCCCGATGTGTTGACGTAGGGTTGGGCGATGTCGAGAAGGACGAAGTTTTGCTCCACTAACTTTGCATTCTGGAGCGGCTGAAAAAGAGAGGAACAGTGAAAAAATCAAATCTCTATTAACAATAGTTTTTTAAGTTTCGGCAAACTCCCCAGCATACCCCAAAAGTCTTGGTATCGAGGTAGTAGTTGCTCGTCGGATCCAATTTCAGCAAATCTCCAATCGTTGAATTTTGCAGAAACTGTGCAGCGGATTCCATTTTCCATTGCTCTGTGTTGCGATAGAAGCAGGCGCAAGTGTTGTTCGGGAAATACGCCACGTATGTTCCGGCATTTTTCTGGCAAGCGAGGTAGCAGTTGCGGTCCATTAATGTGTACGGAGAAACCGGGGCGGGAGTTTGGGTCGTTGGTTTGAAAAGTAGCAGCAACATCAGAAGCATTTTTATGCTAAATCAGAGCTTGCTTTATAAAAGCCTTGAGATGCCACGGCCAATTCGGTTGGCAGAGAAGCAAGAATGGCTGCCCGGAAACTGCTTGGGAATGATGAACTCGATCTGGCAACCGCCTACACAATTTTGTGCTTGTGAGAACTTATTTCATACGAGAGAGCGAGAGGAAGCGAGAGAGAGAGATCCATACCCAGAGAGCCAGATTCTTTCATTTCTCCAACATATTTTTCACCCATTTATTCGACCATCGAAAAACGCTCATTACGCAAAAGCCCGTCAAATGAAATCACAACTGAGAAATCGACCATACATCGATTAAATCACACGCGAAAAAGGCGATTAATGGCTTAATTTGAAGAGGAGACGATTCATCGCATGTTGGGCCTCGGGGTGTCCATGCTGAAAAACGGGGGTGAAAGATTTTTCACGGTTGATTCAAACAAAATTTCTATAACGCCAGTCGTTAAGGGTCAAAAAATATACCAATGGTTTCAATTACGACCCAAAATAATGTAACGTGTGAACTCTTACCGTACACGAGCAGCTGCATGCTGCTGATCACGCGGCGGGCGACGCGGCTTCTCGCCCTGGACCCTCAGCTTGCGGCGATCAATGTGAATGGAGAAGGCACGGTCGTTGTCGATGATCCAGTACATCTCGTCGTCGTCCCTTCCACGCCCCTCATTCATCATGATGCCGACGAACATCTGCGGGCTCAACGTCTCGGGCTGTAGCTCGGGCACGAAGTTCACCTGAAGATGATGGTACTCCACGGGGTGGAGACTTGCAGGATTACAAAAATGGCATGATAATATTTCAAAGCATTTACCGACTTATAGAATTTCAAGTTTTACTGCATTTTAGCATTCAAAAAACCACGAAAAACACCTTGATGCGCTGCCCGCGCCCAAGCGGCATGGCGATGGCGGCCTCGATGAAGTGCCACAGGGCCTGGTGGTCTTCTGGAGGCTGACGGGGCGACCAGGTGAGGGTCAGCTTCGGGCCGTTGAAGGGGAGCAGGTAGGGCAGGTGCTCGACGCCGACTTTCTTTACCTGAAGTAGAGCTTGAGCTAGGCTTAGGCTTAGGCTTAGTTTTGGGCCTCGGTATAGCTTCGGCGTAGGCTTTGGCTTAGGCCAGGCTCAGGCTTACTTATAGGCTTACAAGGAGACGTTTTTGAGTGTCGTCGGGACTTTGGCACGGGACCAAGCCTATCATGTGCAGAATTTTACGCTGATTCCGAATATATTAACCGTTTTTGCGGAATAGCCATTTCTCGAAAGTTATGAACGATTTAAACCTCAAAACAGTCCAAAATCGGCTACTTTCAATAGTCATAAAAGGCTTCAAAATAGGTTTTAGACAAAACCAGATAGTGCATCTTGTTCAGAAAAAAATTCTCTATAAAATAAGCCACTTAACTCAAAAATACTGGAATTTTGAAAATTTTTGTAAAATTATGGACCTCCCAATTTATCAAATTTTTCCAACTTTTTAATGATTTTGAAAAAGATGGTACATTTTATAGAGAATTTTTTTCTGAATAAGATGCACTATCTGGTTTTGTCTAAAACCTATTTTGAAGCCTTTTATGACTATTGAAAGTAGCCGATTTTGGACTGTTTTGAGGTTTAAATCGTTCATAACTTTCGAGAAATGGCTATTCCGCAAAAACGGTTAACATATTCGGAATCAGCGTAAAATTCTGCACAAGATAGGCTTGGTCCCGTGCCAAAGTCCCGACGACACTCAAAAACGTCTCCTTGTTAGGCTAGGTAGGCTTTAGGTTAGGCCTAGGCTTAAGCTCAGGCTTAGGCTTCCAACCTCAACCGACACCCATCCCATCAGGCGCTTGTCGGTGGCGCCGGCCTGCTGGAGCAGGCTCGCCCAGCACGGGCCCGCCTCGAAGTAGGGGTGACCGCGCAGGTGCAGGGTCCGACGGCACGCCTTCTTGAACTTGTCGACCAGGCCGGGCCAGGTCGGGCCGTCCGTCTGAGAAAAGGGTTTTTAGGCTCACGTCTGGAGCCCCACCTCAACCGGCAGCAACTTCCAGGTCTCGCAGCACGGCAGGCGGACGTCGGGGAATTCGGTGATGGTCGGATCGAACAGGATGATGAAAACGTGCTCGGCGCGGCCAAGCAGCCAGGCCGTCGTCTGCGCGTCGTACTGGACGTGGTCGATCTTGATCTGCGTCTCCTTGGTCCCGTCGGCCCTCGGGATTCCGCGCACCGTCACGCGGCTCAGCCTGAAAGGTTTAGTTTCGCTGGTTCTGGTTCGTTAGCGGGGGAGGGAGTTGAACGGGCAAACTTTTTTGTCAATAGTTTCTCTTATTTTTGAACTGTGGATAAAACCCCCAGTATATTTTTGAAGTATTCTCAAAAACATAATGTAAAATTGAAAAATCGACGACCTTAAATTCCGCCCCCCCCCCCTAACGAAAGAAAATCGTTTGAAGCCTATCTTAACCAAAAACTGTTCCCGTCCTTCTCGAGGTCGAGCCTATTGACCTACGCGAAATCGGTGACGTATCGGCCGGTGTGGATGAAGCGCGGCACGGCCTTGAGCGCGCTGAAGTAGTCCCAATGGTCGAGCCCGTCAGCGACGATGCGGAGAAGTTCGAGCGGCATGTCTTGAATGCGACGGCAGACGGGCATCTGCTCAAGGTACTCCTTGTTCTCCCGGGCGATCGTCGCGTTTTTCAGCAGGATCGAGGCGTCGGCAAAGGTGACAAAGTGGTAGTCGATAATGTAGCCATCGAAGACCGTATCGACCGTCTCCCAATACTTCGGCATCTGACGGATGCGCTGCTTGAAGTCGTCGTCGGCGCTGGCGACGTTGAGCAGCGACTCCGGATCGAGGGGCCACATCACCGCGGCGAAGAGGTCGTCGGGGAGCGCGGAGAGCGCTGAACAACCATTGTAAAAATTGTAATAGATGTGAAATTTAGATGTCGGGTTCTGGACCCTTAACGGATAAGCGGTAAATTTTTTCTCCGCTTTGATAAAAGTAGAAACAGTTTTTGGTACTTTCACACTATCGGGGGAAGATTTTTCCGTGTTATGCAAATTGAGTGTTGATCGTGTTTCTAGTAAGGAACACATACAAACAGGCTGCTGAGGAAAAATTTCCCTCCCCCCCCGATAATTCTAAAGAACCGAAAAAATCTTATTTTGCTTTGGGGACCGTAAAGTTGTTCAGCATTTTTCAAGAATCGCTACCGTTTTCCCCGTCAAGCGACTCCACATTTGCCGTGTGAATTGAGAGAGATCGCGTCGCCCCTACAAAATTCCGGATTATCCAAAAAACCGATTACTCCTACCAGTATCCGTCAAGTCGCTCAGGTCTTCGTAATGGGCGGACATGATCACCTCGAAATGATCCTCGGCCAGCGCCGACGCGTCCCAGAAGAACAACGCCGTGCTCGACGAGGTCACCGAAGAGGATGAGCTGAAAACAGTCATTTTCACGACACGTGCTTTGTAAACGAGAGAAAGCCAAGTTGTGTGAGCCTTATACCTCGCATACGAAGCGAGCCGGTGGTGATTGCGGAAGGCAGATGAAGACCACGAGAGGTCGACCAGCTCCTCGCTGGGCAGAGACTCCCTGAAAACACGCAGCTGTCAATCGTTTTTCATGTTTTCTAACTACTTTTCTATTATTTTGGTTTTTTTCAGATAAAATATGGATAACTTTTTATCAAAAAAACCTGTTAAGATCTAGAGGTGCGATCGCTGATAACCCGAGACGGTTTAAGTGCAGTTAACCCCCCCACACCGCAGCCGACCCCACCTACCGTATCTCGGCTCCTGTTTATCTACAGGTATGTAAAGTATACCAAAATGTTCGTCTTGCTGTGGCGAGTATTTTGGTATACTTTACACAACTGTAGATGACCAGGGAGGGGCGAGATACAAGAATTGGTTGCCGGCTGGGGGGTAAACTGCACTCTAACCTTTTGGTGTACTTTCGTGCGATTTTTAATCGCGCAAGCAGATAACAGAAAAAATACCACTCATCAGAAGATGGGGAGACGCCAGTTGAAGGTGTCATAGATGGCGTGAGGGAGATGCAAGTGGACGGCGTCGGCAGGAATTCGCTCCTGAAATTTGGTATTTAAGCAAACAGTTACGTATTGGCAAGTAGTGGCTAAATATAAAAAAATAGTGTCTGTGTGTGTGTGCCACTTTGCATCCACTTCCGTATCGTTGTTCCAGTCGTATCTCTATAGGGGGAGAAGTTAGGGGTGGGTACGATACGTCATTAAGTGCGTAATGGTCTAGGGATGACTGCCCACATATCAGATTTATAAAAATCAGCCATTTTCGATATTAAATTTAAGTTTTTGTAAAACCCGCTTCGCTAGGAAAAATTAGCATTGACCGGAAGTAGGAAGTCGCCTATATAAAGGGCCACAAGCGAATCATTTTAATTTTTTTGGTCATCTGAATTCAGCGCAATTATGCAAAGCGTAGAACAGCATGCGGTCCAAGACGGGGCCAGGGTTGAAAAGTCGCGAAGCGGCTTTTCAACCCTGGTAGTGGCTAAAATATGCCTAGCTATCCGCGAAAAATCGGTCCAAAAACCCCGCAAAATTAATACCAGTATGACGGTGGGGAGGTGGCGGTCGACGGCGAGGTGGTCGGGGTGACGGAATAGCAGGTAGAGACGCACCACGAGGCCGTCACAGGAGATGCGGACGGCGTGGCGTCGATCCCGGTCGAGACATCAGAAGAGGAGAAGGAGATACTCGCCGACATGGCGAGCACTCGGAAAATGATATTCGATCAGAGCTGGCGGCTCGTTCCGGCTTTTCCGGAAATGCGCCCAGTAAGCTAATTTTTATTCCGATTTCCGGCAGGGATTCAAAGTAGTTTTTTTTGTTAATCTAAAAATGCCCAGTAACTTAATAGGAAGTCCTTTCATAATGTTTTTAGTAGAATAAAATTATATTCTAGCTAGAAGAAGTCGCTCATATTTTTGAAAAAGTCGAAACTTTGCTCAAAAACGGCCAGTTTCGTCGAAAAATCGTCATTTTTGCTTTTTTTAATAAAATTTTGCGAAGTTTTACGTTTAGGGGTAGCAAAAAACAGCTTACAAAAACTTCCGAGATGGGGTTCTCAAGAAAAAAAGTTATGGTTTAAAACTGACTCGGCCGAGTCCCGTGCACGCAGAATATAAGAACTTTCAGGTGCATTGTGGGAAAATAAATCTGTTTATTCCTTGGTAAGGCCCGAAAAACACAAGCATGTACGCACGACAATTGTTCGTCAAAACACCCGAATTAATCAATACAAAGCGATTAATATGTTAATTCTTGTAGTAGAGCAGCGGAGCGGACGTATCGACGGGTCGGGTGCGTCATCAGGAAGAGCGCGTAGTCGATTCTGGAAAAGGGCTTGGTAATGGCTTATCAGCGGGGGGGGGGGGGGATTTTAACGGGAAGAAACTAATTTTGTTTTTTTTTGTCTATATAGCGTATATTTATTGCTTTAGTAGTGTTTGTTTACTAAAAGGTTATAGAAATATGTTCAAAAAAATTGGAAAATTCGAACATTTTAGCCGTTTTTCGTATTTTTTCATGGATTTTTGAGGAGAAGCCAGAACTTTTTGAGACTTTCTACAATTTTTAATGGCTTTTTATATCTAAAAACTTTATACAATGCTATGTATGGCTATGAAGGTCATTATTTAGAAAAATTTAGTCCTACCCCCGTTAAAATTCCCCCCCCCCGCTCATAGTCCAGTACCTTCTAACCTGGCTCTCGTCCACTTCACCAGCCGCGCCCCATCATCAAGAGGTATTCGCGTCCGATCTTGACGTCAATTTGCCGCTTCCTTCCGAGCGACGTGTGGAAAAATTCATCGTCCCCGATATCCATTGTCCAACGGAACTGATTGCGCACGAGGTAGATGAGCTGCTCGAGGCTCAGGTGCGGCCAGAAAGAGATCTAAAAAATATTGCGATTGGTAAAGGCCTTGTTTCGCCAAAGTGAGCGTAGGCTTAACCGTTTTTTTGGGCATTTTCATACATTTTTGACCAAAACACGAAGAATTATTTACCCGGATTCTCTGGTGCTTCAGAAGGGGCATTGCGCAGGCAGCGTCGAGCAACCCGTCGAAGATGTGCAGTGCGCGCGACCACATGATGCTCAACTCCCGGCCGTTGAAGGGGATCAGTTGAAGGCATTTGCGCAGATATTCGTCGCGATGCGGGTATACCTGCAAATGCGGCTCGTCTTGTTTCTGTAGATTTCACCTCGGCCGTTATCCAGCCACGCATCTTCCTGTTGGTGGCGCCGCCGTTCTTCAACAGGTCACCCCAGCACGCCATGGCTTCGTCGGTCGGTTCTCCGCGAAGATGCAGGATCTTCCGGCACTTCCGCTTGAACAAGTTGATGAGGCCGGGCCAGATCGGATCTTGGGTCTGTAAAAAGACATATTTATGCAAGTTAGAACGCGCTACGCTCGGACTTAGGCTTAGGCTTGACTTAGGCGGCCGTAGGCTTAGGTTTAGGCTTAGGCTTAGCTAAGGTGCATTAGGCGTGCTTATGTTTAGGGCTAGGCCTTGGCTTAAGCTTGGCTTAGGTCTTGGCTTAGGCGGGCTTAGGCTCAGGTTAGACTTAGGCTTAGGTGGGCAGCCCACCGCGGGCTTAAACTTAGGCTTAGACATAGGCAATCACCATGGGTGATTTGCAGTCGTGTGCCCTTCGCTTCTCCCACCTCAATCGGGAGGAGCTCCCAGTGTTCACAGTCGGGGAGGCAGATTCCCTCAGGGAAGTAGGTGATCGTCGCGTCGAATACAATCTGGTCCAGGTCCCTTGCATTATTGATCAGCCACGCCGTCAGCACATCGTCGTAGAGGTGGCGATCCACACGGATCACTGTTTTCTTTGATCCGTCGGGCTGTCGGAGGCCGCGGATCGACACGCGAGTCATCCTGAAATTGCGCTTACGTCAAAAGACAAAAATATCGATTTCTCGACCAATAATGGCCTTTTTGACAAAATTTCGAGCTTTTAAAAAAATTTTCAAAGTTTTAGGTAGCTTTGCTAGTCAAAGCATAATCATATGTAACTCAAAAATATCTTGCAAATACTTAAAATATTAGACGTGTCTATTTTAATAAAAAAATTAGGTTTTAAAATACTCGCAATTACTTTAGTGGGATTTATTGAAGTATGAAAAAAAATTAGCTTTCTACAGCCCTCCCGATAATGCGAAAGCGCCGAGTTTTTGAATGGTTATCGAGTCCCGGCAAGATTACCCAAGCCCGTATTTAATTCCAGCCAAAATCCTGACAGCCAGCATCCCGACATTCAAAATCCCGACGGCCAGGCAACGGAAATATCACATTCGTCTGTCGTCTGTCGTGATTTCGGCGGTCCGGATTTTGAATTTCGGGACTTTGGCGTTTCCCGGTCGCATTTTTTACCGACTTACGAATATTCTCCGACCACATGGCCGGTACAGACAAAGCGGGAATAGGCCTTCGCGGCCGGGAAGAAGCTCTTATCATCCAGGCCGTCGGCGACGATACGGAGCAGCGCGAGCGGCAAATCTTGGAGGCCGCGGCAGAGTGGCAACTTGTCGATGTACTCCTCGTCCCGTTTCCGATTGTTGCATTGCACAGAAACGACAGCGAGTGGTTGTAAGGCACGAATTCGTAGTCGACGATGTACCCCTCGGGCACCGTGTCGACGATCCCCCAGTATTTCTCGGCTCGCTTGACGCGCAGCTCCATCGCAGCATCGACGTCAACGAGGCCGAGCAGCGTGTTCGCATCCAGCGGCCAGACGATGGCTTGGAAGAGCACATCGGGAAGAGTGTGGAGGTCTTAAAATTGACAGAAGCATAGCCAAGTGTCGCA